TTCTCAAACTGTGCTCCTCCAGGTGTTTTGGACTTCGGTTCCCAGAAATCCCAGCCAACTTACCAGCTGTTAGGAAAAGTCAAAAACATCTAGAGGAGCCAAGTCTGAGAAACTCTGCTTTAGGGTATTTAGGCTTAGCCTAGTCATTCCCAAATAAGTTCAGCATCTTAAAGCAAACCTTTAGAACAGTTAGTAAATCACCAGCAAACAATAATATCTACCAACTGAAAGGTTGCCAGTTCAAATCCCCAGGTCGGTGTGAGCACCCGACCATCAGCCCAGCTCACTGTTTACCTAAGCAGTTCGAAAACAGCTCAGAGCTGTAAGTAGAAAAATTAGGTACCACTAAAAAGCAGGGGAGGTATTTTACGACACCATAAAAGAAAAGCTCAGAAAATGTCAGGTGACCAAAAGGAAGAAGGAAATCCTGATGGCTCTTCATCATAGAGGATGGAGTGACAGCACCTTCCTATGGCTGGATTTGAGCATAACCTCCAAGGCATTAAAAAAGCTGGACATCGACACAACATACTTCCTTTCTGTCTGTTTCTGTCTTGTCTATCCAAATGGCATTTTATGTTTGCCATGTATGTGTACTGTGATCAGCCCTGAGTCTCCTTGGAGAGATACGGTGGAGAATAAATAAATTATTATTATTATTATTATTATTATTATTATTATTATTATTATTATTATTTAAAGTTGAGATTAAAACTGAGGGTGGATCTGTGACTCCGCCGTCTGGTTCTGTCCATGTTCAGTTTGCATGCTCTGACAAGTTGTGCTCCTTTTATACCTTACCGAAAAGAAGAATGCTGTTGATCTGTAAGACCGAGTTACTGATGTTTTGTTTGAATGTTTCCCTACAGCCTGGGAAGAAATGTTTAGCAGTGTACAGGAGGGATGAGCCAATGAACTATACGCTCTCCGGCTGCACCAGTGAGACCACCTACCGGCCCAAATACTGCGGCGTCTGCACAGACAATCGCTGCTGCACCCCGTACAAATCCAAGACCATCGAAGTGAACTTTCAGTGTCCAGACGGGACTGGATTCACCAGGAAAACCATGTGGATCAATGCTTGCTTTTGCAACCTCAGCTGCAAAAATCCCAACGACATCTTTGCTGACTTGGCTCATTATCACGATTATTCGGAAATCGCCAACTGAGTCGGCCCAATGCTGGAAAGCATGGAAAGGGGTGGGAGAAATGGACCGACCTCCCAGATCCTNTATATATTATTACTCTGATTTTACAGAGGATCAGAAATAAATCAGAATCTTTTCATTCATCCATTGAGAAAGTAGCTATTTGGGGCTTGTTGGTTTAACTTTTTTAAAAAGCTGGTTGGGTGAAGAAACAACTTAATCTAAGCTGCTTTTAGTTCATCCCACGGCTTTTTGATTGCTTTTTGAAATCAGGGTTTTCTGCAGCTCTACATTCATTGCACCAGTTCACAAATGTTTTCTATTTCACAAAAATCAGGCCTATAGTCATTGGAAACTGCTCCAAATATTAGTACACATTTTAAAGGTGCTTTTCAGATAGAGGTATCTGTTTGATAATAAATCTAACATCTGAATAGCTCCTTCATGTTTAAGAGTAAGGCTTGGAGTAGACTCATTACACCCACTGACCTGGAAGCCACCACTGGATTAGCATCATTCAGACCTGTGCAGAATATTCTTGTGTAAGGCAATTAATAGGGATGAATTTACATGCATAGTACATAGA